CCGAGCCATGCCCTGGTAACAACAGCCGTCTCAAACTATATGGTCTGTATTAATGTGTCAGTATGCCCCTACTTCCTGGTGGAACTTCCTGCTATAACCTGTTGATAATTAATTTACAGTGGGTTTATCCTTGGCCTTTATAACCGGGTAACAATATCTGCCAGCACAATCACACAAAACGTATTAACTGATAATAACTAATGATTCAGAACAGGTGGGGGCGGGGGAGAAATATGAGCGATAAACGCAGGGATTTTATGAACTAGCAACGCATTACCTGATAGGGCTAAAACTAGCCACAAAGTTCGCTCCAGTTTACAGCAGTAGTAGCGAGTGAGTGTCAGGAGTGAGATTATAACAGCTGTGCAGAGTTCAGCTGGCTCAGGACAGCCACGGACACTGAAAGCTGAGCAGAAGTGAACAAACTGCGGAGCTGCTGCAGCCGGTGAGGCGGGGCGAGGTCTGTCGACACTACTTTTTTCCTCCGGTCGATGCGTCTCAGACATTCTCGCCAACATGCCTCAAGCATGACAGCAAACTGGTTTAGCTGGGTGACAGGGGAAAAGGCAGTGTAAGAGTAAACTTTCGGCAGGTCACACCTGGACTTGGAAGCTCGGTACAGCTGTGAACAACAACACGGTGAAGAAAGCAAGATGACTGCTGTGAAGTTTAACCGACGGAGAGCTTGACGGGTACACCAATGAGGTAGGCTCAGCAGACGGTAACTGTGGGGGGCTGTACGGCTCTGTGCTGTTAGCCTCTGCGGTGTTTGGGCTAGCTGGATCCAACACGAGACTACAGACTGAACCAGCTCCGGTTAACTTTTCTAACTCGGTGGGGGGAAAAGTTTTGTCCGTAAATGACAGGCTCACTTGCGTAGCGGCAACACAAAGCTATTTTATCTTTAACTTATTTACTTAGAGCTCGTTGTCCTTTAACGTCTGCTCCAGGGCTTTGAGCTTTACTCTTTACTCCTGGTGTTTCTTTTCTCGTTTATGTGAGATTTCTGGCTTTACATGAAAGTTCAAATGGAATCGAGGGTGTTTGGCCAGAGGGAGGGGCCACACCCTAACCATCTATCCTGTGGTTAGATTCCATTTCCCTCATTGTGCTTTCACCGGTCCAATGAAATTGTAGCAGATGCTGCAATATCTCTGAGAAGTATCCACTGGCGTCTATTTGTTTTTATTTTTTGGGTTGTTGAGCTGGGTTTGTCACGGTGTATTGATAGAGTGATATCTCAACTTGGCTGCAGCTAGTTGATTTTCAAGAAAGTGAACTCCACCACTGTTGTAACTATGGACCCAGACAGTGTAAATATGCCACACAAACACTAGAATAAATGCTTCTGTTACTTTTGATTTGTTAGAGTCTTTATCATGTCAGGGTGGGGGTTTTTTTGTTTTGTTTTTTGTCAAATAGTACATGTTGTTATCTTTAGATTTTATTCTATCTCGCATGACAACAAGAAGCAGCGAATTAGACATCTGTGGGTTGTGTGAGTGTATCTGATTACAGCTGAACCCAAATTTGGTTCAAAAACATTTACAAGTTGCGTATCTTTTTGCCCTTTGTCCTCTCCAAAGACCACAGTATGGCGCGTCGCTCTCAGTGTTCCTCTGCTGGGGATAACCCCCTGGACCCCAACTACCTCCCTCCTCACTACCGGGAAGAGTACCGCTTGGCCATTGACGCTCTGGTTGAGGGGGATTTGGAGGGGTACTATGAGTTCCTCCAAAAGGCGGATGTGGTGGACTTTCTGTCCACACCTGAGATTCAGCACATTATGGGCTCCGTTCAGGGTCCCCAGCTGATCGGACACCCTGAACAGCTTTTTCTGGAAAGCGGGGGAGATGGATCCTCAGACACTTACTGGCCGATTCACAGCGACCAGGACGTCCCAGATTTGGACCTCGGGTGGCCCCACTTGCAACTCTTCAGTGTGCCCACAGAGGTTACCACTCTGGTCAACCCCCCTGAGCCAGACATGCCAAGTATCAAGGAGCAGGCCCGGCGACTCATCAAAAACGCTCAACAGGTCGGCCTGCGGTTTCCTTCACATTAATCACCATTGTTCTTTTTTCGATTGTCGTACTCATGGCGCTTTTGTTTTCGCTTTGGTCGCTTTGTTTTCTTTCATTTCCTCAGGTCATTGCCATAGCGATGGATATGTTTACCGATGTTGACATTTTTGCGGATGTCCTTAACGCTGCCATGAGAAACGTTGCTGTCTACATCCTTCTAGACGAGTTGAATGCACATCACTTTGTGAGCATGGTATCCAACTGCAGAGTAAACCTGCAGAGCATTCAGGTGATTAAGTATTCTTTGCAATGCATTTTGTCTTCTTACATGTTTAATTTCCGTTCCCATTTATAGTTTATGTCTGCCCCTTTACTTCATATACAATATGCATGATCTGTGGCTCAAAGTAGTCCTTAACAAATTTGCTGTTTATGTCTGCTTTAACTGATTAAATGGTTGAAATCTATTTTTGTTATGCGTTTTGAAGGCTGTTTTGTCTTCATTTGGAATGAATGGATTTGGCACTACAGGCCACTGAGGAGGGGTGGGGGTGTTTGGAAAGCACTGAGAGATAACCCATAGTTGTTTTATCTTTTCATAGGATTTGTTGACAGTATTACAAAATTTAGAATATCACCAGCTTTATCTCCCAGTGGTCTTTTCACAGTAAGGCATATTGTCCGACAAAAGCTAAGCAATTGGTAAAAGATGACTCTCTCAAGTCTCCACTGGCATGGGAAAATTCTTAGAGCTGCATTTTATGCTATTGTGTAATATAAATAAAATGCCAGTATTAATACATCTGAACCTGATATGTTGAGTAAATGGAGACTGACTCATTTAGTGATGTTTAAAAAAAATATCACATGACCAGTATAGTACTGCAAAAGTGAACTACGTATGCAATCTTTTTCTCCTTTTCTGTGACGTGATCTCAGAAGAAGCAGTGCTAATGCAATGCTGCCACCTATCTTGGATTTATGCAGTTGAAAACATTGCTAGATGTGCTTCATACATTTTTAGGTTTTATAAATCTTAAGGTGATTCCTTGTGCCTTGCAGTTTTTACGAGTGAGAACAGTGTCTGGCAGCTCGTACAAGTGTCGCTCAGGCAAATCCTTCAAAGGTCAGATGATGGATCGTTTCTTGTTGACTGACTGCAGGGCTGTGCTGAGTGGAAATTACAGGTGAGGCTGTTTAAAACTACTGCAGAATCCTACTACACCAGGATTGTTTCCTAACAAATGTGTTGTGTTTGCAACAGTTTATTGAACGTTTTAATGATTCTTGTATTAAATTGCACTTATCTTATGTCATGTCCAGCTTCATGTGGTCTTTTGAGAAACTACACCGCTGCATGGCGCACCTGTTCTTCGGACAGCTCGTGACTACCTTTGATGAAGAGTTTCGGATCCTGTATGCTCATTCCCAGCCGCTGATTGTTGAAGATGTGGTTCCTCCAGTGGAAGACATAAATCCATTACAAAAGAGGGAATACACCAGTGACAGGCTATCACTGTACAGGGAGCCTATGAGAACTCTGCCAGCAGCTGATTCTAGTCAACCAGATGAATGGGCCAGACAGTCCTGTGATGAACGAATGGATGACGATTGGAGAAGGATGCCCTTCAACACTAAGGAACCCCTGCGTGGACCCGCAGATTTGTACAATAGGTTTCCTTCCCAGCAACCACACATGGACCCATCATTTGATCAGGGACGTGTCAGGATTCCACCGATGGAAAATCGACCCTTTAAACATCCTGGCTTTGCTGAAGGTGTTCAAGGAAGATATCCTTATCCATTCCTGCAAACTCAGGGAATACCAGAACCTGAGTCCCAGGGTAGGCATTTTTACAGGGGCCAGCAGCCTTATCTAGGACCAGCACCAGGACCAGAAGCAGATTACAGCTATGACAAGTTCTGGAGCCAAGGTTATCTTTCAAGAGATCAATACTCTGAATCTGCTTTACCACAACAGATGCAGCCCCCTGATTTTGACCCTGTTTTTAACTACTTGTCATCTACCAAAGACTATGATCAAAGCTCAGAGAAAATGCTTCCTGCAGCAGATTTTAGTTCGTCTCAACCTAGAAGACTAAGTTTAGGCCATCCATATACGTGCCAAACCTCTCCCACGCCCTCCAGCCACACTGATCAGAGGCAGTTACTTCAGGAGTCTAACAGTGACCGCAAGGATCCCATGGTTAAAAAGGGTCTGAGAAACTGGAGGATTAACTCATACCTTAGTGCATATGATAATTCAGGAGATGAAGGCCTGCCAGTGGAACCACCTCAGGCCCCAGATCCTTTTGAAGAGCCCCGTAACACCATGCAGAAAACAGCACCAGGGGTTGATTTGTCACTTCCTAAAATCCCAAATGTCAGAGAGTTCAAAATTCCTGTTATATCCAGGGTGAGTCAGATACCAAATTATGCCAAAACAACAACCAGAGGTAAAGAGCCTAAGGAATTGATGAATTGTTCATCGGGCAAAACCTTAGAGCCAAAGGTATTGCCCCATGAACCTCCTGCAGTGGCAGAAGAAACCAAAACAACACCATCAGAGTCACAAACCACAAACAAGGAGGAAAAGAGGACAGAGGAGGGAGAACAAAATGAGCCAAAGACTTCTGTTCTTCTGCGGTCCGATTCTTTCCGAAGGAAACTAAATGCTAGTGGAATGAACAGGTGCTCCAGGTTAAGGTCCTCTCTGATATTCAGCTCTCTGGATCAGCCAGCTCCTCAGGATAGTCAAACTACCCCTCCTGAGCAAAAGGACGGAGACACTGAAGACAGTGACAAAACTGAATCTGAAAAGATAAAACTACCCTTTGTTTCTCAAGTTCTGGGACAAAGGAGAACTGCTGCTAGAGAACCTTACGAATGGACTCGGTACCTAAAGACATCCACAGAAACAAAACCAGACAAGGAAAGCACTAAAGGAGATGATAAAAATTCATCAAAGCAAGAAGATTCAAAAGACGTTTCAGAAAAGCTTGAGCAAACAGAGTCAGCAAAAGTACCCCATGTAGAGCAGCCTAATCTTTCGCCATCCATGCCTCGATCCAAGCTTTCTGAAGCTGAGCAACCCAAAATCAATCAGCCGGTACAACCATCTAAACCTTTAGCCACCCTTCTACCATACGCAGATATGAATGATCCTGATGTAAGATTAATGTTTTTCAAAGAGCTGGCAGCAAAACGCAAAGCTGAAGCAGCCACAAAAGCTGCAAAGGGCAAAGGAAAAGACCCGGTGAAACCAGAAACTGAACTAAAAGTCAACAGTGGTGTCAAAAAGGAGGGACCTGAACCAAGAGAATCCTCAGAAGACAGGGCTTCCAAAACTGAGGGGGAAAAGAGTGCTACTGCAGACGGTCAGTCAAGTCAGTCAGCTAGTGTGTCTTTTGAATCCAGTGAAAACATTAACCAGCAGGACAGTCAGATCGAAAATCACTCCAATACCTCCCAGAGCTCTAAAGAACAAAATAAAGTAGCAGAAGATTTAGGCACAACAAAACTGGACAACAGTCAGTCAGCAGATCTTCTTCCTGCTTCCTCAGAGTTACCTCTGAACAAATCACCACAAGAACCCATGCTGTCAGATCCTGCTGATGACGAGAGCAGCCCCAGTCATCCACCCACAAATCCTGCTCCCACTAATGTTTCTTCACTTACACAAAGTACTGATAAAAAGGAAAGCCCAAGCCCAGATTCTACCTCAAAGGGGTCTAAATCAGTCTGTGCCAATTCTGATGAAGGACTTTCTGCGTTGGCTTCTCACACTCATAATCCTGAATTGACTCAGTTAGCAACCAGCATCTCCCCTCCTGCAGTAAAATCAACAGTTGACGCCTCTGACCCATCAATGCAGAGATCCTCCTCTGAGAATAATCTGCTAGATTATGGTTCACAGAAAAGTCCAGTTTCTTTATCGTCCAGTACGCCTTCTCTTTCTACCACTGAAGAGAACAGACTTTCAGAAGATTCCAGTTCACACCCTGCTTCTGGCATATTAGCTTCAAATGATGATAAAACAGAGGCACATGACTCTATGAGCTCCTCGCCAAAGGGGTTAGCAGAAGATTCTAAATCTAAAGATACGAGTAACCAAACTCCTCTAGATTCCTCTTCCAAGTTGCCGTCATCCCAGACTCCTTCAGCAACTGACTCTGTACATATGGAATCTGGTGTTTCTCCTGAGGTGTTTGTTAGTGGTGCTGAGCCAAGCTCATCCTCGTTACAGTCCACCACAAGCATTTCTGGTGCTACAACTTCCACAGAAAGGTCAGAAAAAGATATTTCTGAATCAGCGAAAGCCAATTGTAAAAGAGAAAAAGATTCTTCTGTAGCAGAGAAGAGCATGACTGAATCAAAAACACGGGTTTCTGAACCAGAAAAAGATGCCTCTGAAACAGAAATAGGCATGCCTGAATCAGACAAACGTGTATCTGAATTAGAGAAAGTCGTGTTTGATACAGCTATTTCTGAAACAGAAAAGGCCATTTCTGCGACATCAGACCCAGGAAAGGGTACTTTGGAATCAGAGAAAAGTGTTTCTGAATCAGAAAAAGACCTTATTAAAACATCAAAATCAGAAAATTATATTTCTGAATCAGAAAAGAACCTTTCTCAAGGAGAAAAGTGTGTTTCTGAACCAGAAAAATCTGAGGGAGCTCTATCTGAAACAGAAAATGCCATTTCTGAAAAACAAGAATCAGTAAAAGATATTTTTGACTCTGAAAAGAGCATTTCTGAACCAGAAAAACATATCTCTGAATTGGAAATAGGCATGTCTGAATCAGAGACAGCTGTTTTTGAAACAGAAAAGGCCATTTCTGAGACATCAGACCCAGAAAGGGGTACTTTAGAATCAGAGAAAGGTGTTTCTGAATCACAAAAATCCATTTCTGAAGCATCAAAATCAGAAAACGATATTTGTGAACTAGAAACACGCCTTTCTCAAGTAGAAAGACGTGTTTCGGGGTCAGAAAACATTGTTTCTGAACCAGAAAAGTCAGAGAGAGATGTTTCTGAATCAGAGATAGGTGTATCTGAAACAGAAAAGGCCATTTCTGAAAAACCCGAATCAGAAAAGGATATTTTTGAATCTGAAAAGACTGTTTCTGAATCAGAGGAAGGTGTTACTGAGACAGAAATAGAAGTTTCTGAATCAGAAATTTGCTCAGTTCAAAAGGCTGTTGCAGAGGATTCTGTGGTTCCTGAATCTTCACAACATGTCAAAGGTGATATCATACCTAGTAGCCCTTCTCCACCTGAGCCAGGTGTACCTGAGATAAAAGAGCCCACTATTACTGTACCCACACCCACGGACACTCCAGCCGAGCACTTGCCATCAGAAGCAAGCTCCACTGTCATTACAGACTCTACTCTTAATGCTTCGCAGTCAGAAACAACTGCATCTCCTCAAGACGCACAGATACAAGCAACCCCTCCCTCTGACCTCAACTTTACAGGAGCTGAGGCACCAACCCCTGCTGAAACAGGATCACGTTCCTCTCCTTTGTCTGAGTCAGTTGAATTCGTTTTGCCCCCTGAAGCTAAAAAAGCAGAAACCAACATGTCTGCATTGCACACTCTCACTGATACAAATTCCCTTTCCAACCAGACTCCATCAGAATCGGATAAAGCCCCCAAAACTCCCTCTAGCACAAATGAGCCTACCTCAGAGCCACCTGTGCCTGCTGAAAATAGTAAAACAGAGCCTGAGCAACTGGACACAGGCGGGAGAAACTCAGATCATACCCAGGGTACAAAGGAAAGCAGTGCCAAAGAGTCTGTCGCCAGAACAAATGACCAAATACAGCAAAGTAACTTTTCTGAATCAGCAGAGATCACATCCAAGCAGCCCAAATCGAGCCAGTCTCGCTACCACTCATCCACAGCCAACGTGCTCTCGAGCAGCAACCTCAGAGACGATACCAAGCTGCTCCTGGAGCAGATTTCCGCTAATAGCCAAAGCAGGAATGAGGCTACCAAAGAGTCTCCCGTTACCGATGACGAGAAAGAAGACAAAGCTGACAAAAATGCTAAAAGGGAGAAAGAACGAGGACTTGATAAACTAAACAAAGGGCAAAAATCACCTCAGGAGCGAGAAAAGCTGCTGGAGAGGATCCAGCATATGAGAAAGGAGAGGAAGGTTTACAGTCGATTTGAGGTATGAATGTATTACCAATATTGTTTGCTATTAGAAGTATTAATATATATTTAATTGCCCTTGTGGTGAATCTATTTTTTTTGTCTCTACTATCACAGATGACAACTTAAATGGGATCCAAAGAAAAATGAGATATTAAAAGGATGTGTAGAAGGAAGTGAAATTAAATAAATAAAAAGCTGGCAAAGATATTTGTTGGAAATGGGATTTCTCTTCTGGGTTGTATGGAAAACAAGGCTTATCATGCACAGAAGAGTCAGGGAACGTGTACTGATGCGTGAATTTAGACAATATGCAAGTTATTGCAAAGCCGTTGTCCCAATTACGTGTGAGGTGTTCAACAACAAGCTTCTTACTGTGGCTGAATCATCAAGTTGCTCCCAGTATGAACTGAGAGCATGTGTGCAGGATCGAACATGTTTTTACTGACTGCAGGGTAACGTGCAATGTGTCAAACCAAGTTTCTGTGAAGAGGCCTTATTGCTGTAATTTTTTACAACACTGACAGCAGCGTCAGCTAGTTTTATGACGAGATGTTAGAGAACTGATAATCTACAGTGGTCAGATTTTGTAAAGCTGTAATATACTATAGTTTGTATTATAATGGTTCACCTTCATCTTAAAAAGATGATAATTACATATATTTGGAAGTAAGTGGATCTGTGGATCATGCTGGCGTAAATGAACTGTAACGTTTTTCATCCTAAACATGCAACCGAAAGCAAGGAAATGCACACGATGGACTCAGACGTCGACGTGTAACACTGTGTCGTTTTGTTTTCAGCTGTTGAAAGCAGATGTCATTAAGGTTAATGATGAATATTCAAAGGTGCATCAGGTTTACTTCAAAGTCTTGTTTATATACACCATTCAACGCTTTTTCATTTACACATTTTGGGGAACAAACCCCAAAATCCAGCATATGAAGCTTTTTAAGTGTTTACTTTGCCTGTGGAAAGCCAAAACTATCCGACAGTATGGGGTTGTATTTTATAATCTGCTGAAACCAACCTTTTATTTCTCTTTTAAACGTTTCTGTATCCTGCAGTTTTTAAATCAGTACTTGTTCTACGTGTCTGTTGAAACTGATCTTGAAGCTGTGAAGAGTTTACATATGTATGTATGAGTATGTAGAGCTGAGCAGTGACAGTGAGTTCTCACAGATTTACAGTATCATACCTGTCTTCATCACCTTTTGCTGTTTGTAAATAAAACTTCTTAAATATATCAAGGCTTGTTTGGTTTTGTTGTTGTTTTTCTCCCATGTCTGAGGTACAGTTCATTAAATTCATGTTTGATACAGCACAGAAAGAAACTCAGGTACTGCTTTAAAAGTAAATTATAGGTACTATGACACTATTTCCACAAAATTAGACATGCCCTCTAAAATAAAAATAAAACCAGAATTAAATAATAAATTATTTAAATCCTTAATTGCAAGAGGTTTTTAAATATTTACGTATATAATTTGTCATATAAATGTTTCATATGTAACGTGTTCGTATGTAACTTGAAAACTCCATTTGATTTAAAATATTCAAAAAGAACACATACATTATATTTTATATAACAGATTTCTCTTCTAAACCTACACAGATTTAGTAGCTTTAACACAGTGATTGCAACATACTGCATATTGGCTTTGTCTCAATACTATCAGATCACAGCCTTTACACCAGCACCATCTTCAGGCCATTTATGACATCTATGAAAACTTTAACGATAACAGGAAAAAGTAATGGGAGAACAAGTTTAGGAGAAACCTTTATTTTATTTTTATTTTTGCCTGTTTCTTCTATCACGTTTCTTCTCTAAAGTGAGACTTTTGCTCTTTGAAATTTTCTTTCTCATGAATTTATCGGGTTGTTTTGTCGTAACACATTTACTATTATTTTAATAAGCTCGCGAGTGATGTGTCGAGCTCCTGAATTTAGATTTCCAGCAATAATAAAGAAGTAACTCTTCTGTGATCCAGTCTTTGTCAGAAGATATTTACCTATCTGAACTTTGCAAGTTTTAGGCAGGTGTTAAAAAAAAATACTGTAAACAAAGAATGCTTTCAGAAATATAAATGATTGTTTATTGGCCCCAAATGTTTTCTGCAGTAGGACAATGACCCCAAACATACAGCCAGTCATTAAAAACAATTTTCAGCGTGAAGAACAAGAAGTACTGGAAGTGATGGCATGGCTCCCACAGAGCTCTGATCTCAACATCATCGAGTGTGTCTGGTATTACACGAAGAGACAGAAGGATGTGAGGAAGCCTACGTCCACAGAAGGACTGTGATTAGTTCTCCAAGATGTTTGGAACAACCTACCAGCCGAGTTCCTTCAAAATCTGTGTGCAAGTGTACCTAGAAGAATGGATGCTGCTCTGAGGCAAAGGGTGGTCACACCAAATATTGACTTGATTTAGATTTCTTTTTTGTTCATTCACTGCATTTTCTTGATTGGTGGAAAATAAATAACTAACATTTCCATTTTTGAAAGCATTCTTTGTTTACAGCATTTTTCCTCACCTGCCTAAAACCTTTGCACAGTACTGTATCTGAACTCACGTAACCGTCCTAACTCGTTGGGATTTCTCTTGCAAAACACTATATAACAGATTACACTCTCACTATGCATAAATTTGCCTCCCAGCCACAAGCGGTTATGAAAGAAGTCGTCATATGTTTCGTAAAAAACTAAACAGTGGTTCTCTTGTGTTTCTCTGTCTCTGCTGCCTACAAATGTCTTGATAAGCCGGCGCTGAATTACACTAATCTTTAAAGAACTTTCACTGCTTCAAGTGCCTCACATCTGAAGGGAAAACTTTGAAGTTTAGTCTTTTTGTTTTGTTTTGTTGCTGTTTTTGTGCTTGCATTTTAATTTATTTTCACTATTTATTACAGAAGAATATAAGTTTACACTGAGAATGACTCTTAGGAGAGTGTATCACATTACAGCATTCAGCTGGTATGCGTTTATTGTTAAGAATCTCAACGATAAGGATGGAGAGGATTTGCCACCAGGAATCTTTGTTTATGGAGGACCCTGGAAGTACCTCACTTTTTTGAATTTGGTGAGTACCTTGATCATTTATGGGTAATTGTTGTGAAGGATTAATGACCCTGCGATCCCAACAAGGACAGTGGGAAAAAACAACAATGTTGCTTGTAATGTTTCAGTTATTGCAAATGACATTCTTTGGACTGGCGGCAGTGAATGATCTTCAACCTGGGAAAAAGGCTGAGAGTACTCTGAGCAAGTTTAAAGACCTTCTCTTCTCTGTCTTTGCCTTTCCAGTGGGCACGGTGAGAACCCCACATTTGTAAATCCTACATTCTTTCAAGTGCAAAAACACCCCCAAAGCAAAACACTATGCTTCACATTAACTCTGCCTTTGCTGCCTTTTCTTTAGTTCGTTGTTCTACTTTTCTGGGCAATCTTTGCATATGATAGAGAATTAGTCTACCCAGCTACCATCGACGCCTTCTTCCCTCCGTGGATGAACCACGCTATGGTCTGTGGACTTATGTTCTTCGGCATAATAAATAATTACTCAGCATCGTTTGTATTTTTAAAACATTTTTAAGCAATTCCTGGTTGGCCTGTCAGGACTTCTCATGTTGCTGTTGGCTTTTTCTTTAGCACACATTTGTCCTTCCCATCTTACTTGGAGAGGTGCTGGTGCAGCCTCACGTCTACCCACAGACTAAACATGCACTGACGGCATTAGGAATCGTGGGCTTGGCTTACTTATCTTGGTAAGTGCTGACTCAGCATTAACAGCATGATCAAGCACTTAAAAAAAGCATTTCTTCAGTTTTTATCTTTCATTTGACACTGATTGAAGTTCATCTTCATGTGGCTGAAAGCACAACACTGTCTAAATGCATCTATTTTTGCTGCTCCAGTGTGCATACAGCTTGCGGGTAAAAGCTTCTTTTCAACATCCACAGCTCGGGCTCACATGTTGTAATGCAGCCAATAACTCCTCATGAGTACAGAACAAACCATAAGCATGCTGTTCATTGCATATGAGATGTTTATTTTTGCTGCTGTTTTGCTGTTACAATGACTGCGTGAACACACTGGGTGAATGTTTGCATGAGCCAAACCTTTTTTTTTCCTTCTTTTTTTCTTTTATATTCTGAACATGATCTGCAGGATTATATGGGTGTACATGTCAGTCGGGATTTGGGTCTATCCTCTTCTTGGGCGCTTCAGTGCTGCTGGTCTGGTGGGCTTCTTCTTTTTTAACATGTCTGTGGTGATCTTGCTCTATCTGCTCGGGAATGAGCTCAACAGACGGGTCTGGGGTAAGAGGCGTTACGTTTGCCATATCATACCGAAAAAGAAAGGTTTAAAAAATAACAACAACAACACCAGAATCTAATCTGTCTCTTTGCTTAACTCTCTCTTTTGTCTCCTCTCTCCAGAAAAGGACATGAACAAAAAGACAAGAGAAACAAATTAATTGAACATTTCTCCCACACTGAAATGGTCCCATGGTTCTCTTTGAAGTGAGGCTATGCAAATAATCCATTCTTTCTCTTACTAAAAACAGTCTAAACCACAGGACAAAACACACCCTTGCCTAATGCGTTACACATTGTTCTGATTTGATTACTGGGTAATGATTGCGATAAAGACTGTATTCTTCTCCACTTGTGCTCCTTGTAGCACCAATTTAGCATTTAGCTAAATGTTAAATAGCAGCATTGAGACAGATTACTTGCAACAAGCAGCACAGCCGTGGGTTACAAAGGTAACAATAAAGCAAATAGGATCCATGTTGCACGTATTCAGTGCAACATTTAAACTGAACATACTGCATGTTTTATCCTGTGATCATGAAAAATCTGCAGGGTGACGTGAGAATAACTTGTAATCCAAATAAGCATTGATTTGATGACATCACAAATCCTTCAAGATCTCCATGAAAGTCTGTTTTTGTGTCCATCCGTCGCTCCAGATGAGCTCCTTGTTTCTTTTTCTTTCTTTTTTCCAAAGGAGCTCAGGGACCATGCAAGTCCCTGTAGCCTTTTAGGTGATGGAGGTAGTCTGGATCCGCATCCACCAATCCAACCGAAAGGATCTTTGCCAATAAATGCAAGTCATCGTCGCTCAGATCATTCTGTTGAAGAAATTGAAGTCAGATATTTTATCCAAACTATTCTCAGTAAGCTCAGCATTTAACTTTTGATTGCTGCTTACCAACTTGTTGTTTGCAGAGGATTCTGGGAGCTGGGACTTTTGTGACTTGTTTCCCTGAAAATGATAAGAATCATTACACAGAGTTAGTCTTTGCTCCTTGTTCCACCTCTTTGCACTCTCTATAAATGTTTCTGTTTGCTTCAAATTCCTTATTATTGATGTATGTCTTGTTTTAATGTGAGCTACATTTAAAAAAGAAAGAAAGAAAGAAAAATAAATAGCTGCTTACCTCTTTGAGTCCCGTTGAAAACCAATATATGAAGAAGAGAAGACCAGCAATGATCTTAAGGCAAAACAAACAGCAGTCAGTATCACACAGGTTACAGTCACCACTAGAAAACGAAATCTTTGAAAAATGAGCTTACTTACAGCTAAAAGACTTAAAATAACGTATAACGAGGTCTGCACTTACTCCGATCAAGTAGAACATGTTTGCTTCTGTTGTGTCTGCCCTGTTTGTGCTCTGATTCGTAACCTAAGGAGAAATAAAGAGGTTCCTTCTTGTCCGAGACATCGGACCACAATGCGTAAGACAGGAGAGGAAAACTCCCATAGAAGAACCAGCCGTACAGGATAGACTGCATATTCACCAAGCAGGTTATCTTACGCCTGAATGAAGTCAGTCATGAGACAAACGTGCGGTTACGCAAACAACTGCGTAAAAGAGGCTGATTTGTGTGTAATAAGAGCTATCATTAGCTGTAAGTCTTAACGCAGGTTAAGATGATCTCACCACAGTGACAGCTAAAAACCACAGATGTCAAAGAGTGACAACCTGCCTGTCATCCGTTCTGTCATATATTTACGCATTGGAAACTCTTGGAAAAGTTTAACTAAACTGCCTCCTCCACCTTCACCGGCAATGCACTGAAATAATATCTATGTTTATCATACTTTCAAAGTATGCAAAAACCTGTTTTTGACTCAGCCTGTCCCCTGTTTCGTGCAATCAGTAGTCGATTTTAAAATGCAGCTCAGATAGCATTGTTTGTTTTCAGTACAAGCTCAGTTTCATTTTAAAGAGATTTGAATGAGAGATGCATACATATGGCTTCTTCTTTGTATGATACAACCTGTATTTGTGGATGGAACGGTGAACTGTGTTCACACATAGTATTTTCTGGAAGTGTTCCTGCCTCCATGCAATGATTTCCATGACACAATAATGCCTGTTTTTAATGCCTGTGTTGCCTGAGGGCCCAAAGGCCAAAGGCTGTCCAGTATTGTCCCATGAACACAAAGATTTCTCCACATTCTCTGATTCTTTTGATGATACTATATGATGTAAAATCGTTCCAGCATTTTGTTCTCCCAATCCCAGCTTTTTTGAGACATGTTTTTGCCATCAAATTCAAAATGAGATAATATTTTTTGTGAAATATTAAAATGTCTCTGTTTAAACATGTGATGGGTATAAAATATGGGTTTGACAGCTTTGCAAATCGTTGCATTCTGTTTGCATTTACATTTTACACAAATGCAAATAAACATTTTCATATTTTATATGTAGTATATTGCAGTATAAAAGAAATCAGCTAACACAAAAAGAGACAGACAGACAGACTGATAGATGGCATTGTGCACCAGCAGATGGAATTTGCATGATATGAATGTATCTGACTTTTCATCTCCTTTTAAACCATTCAGTCAAACAAAAGTTTGGTCTGAAACCTAGCTGTGTTCGCTGGATTTTGAATGAACAGACGTGGATCTCTGTTACAGAAGCTTACTGTACATCAAGGAAATGTCCAATCTATTTTTAACTGGTGCAAAAAGCTCTTTTAAAACCAGATGATAAAAAGGAGAATTACATTGATTTGATGTCCTCATTTGCTGCTGTTTTCATTATTTTAAAATATAAAATAATGCATATTTGAGTCTCTTAATGCCTACTTTTTTTAATATGTTTGTTGAGTTTACCTTGTATTTAGAGTTACATTTTCTCTTCTTCCCGTATTTTATCTTATCTTAATGAAGGTGACACAGTCTATTTGTTTGTTTGTTGAATCGGAGTAAGTGAGTTTGCTCTCCACCAGGGGGAGCCCGGTGGTTGTGAACCAACTCGAGTTGGCGAACATGGTTTTGGAAAAAGACATGACACCGGTAGAAGTTCGAGATTCTTCTAGTATACTTACAGCCTGATTACATAAGATGAACAAAACTACAGGTAAATAAAATATCTGCTATTAGAATGCAGATATAACACTTTTTTTTATAACGCCTCACATTTAATCACACACATCTGCAACATTCAACACATTCAAAACGTGCTTGTATTATATATTTATATGTACTTACATATTAATTAACATTTAATCTTGAATACCGTTATATATGTTGTTATTTCGAATGTATTCATTTGTGGACTTTTCTTTTGCTAGTTCATACTACGCACTTCAGTAGCAGTCTTTCGCGCTTTCACTTTCCTTCTTTTACTTACTAATTAATAACAAATAAATGCCGTGCGTGCGCTGTATAAACGCGAAACATTCAAGAAAGAGAAAACGGGGAGGTGTGTGTGTATCTGTGTGTGTGTGCATGTGTGTGTATGAATATGGAGTTCGGGGACTAGGAGAGTATAACCTCCGTGTTTTCATACCTAGGTAAAGGTAGTACAGCGCAGCCGGTACACGCATGCGCGGATGCGCTCGCTCTGGAACATTTCGGCAGCTTCGCGACATTTCTTCACGTCCATGAAGGAAAATGCGTGAAAACGCTATTAATACTTCCGGTATTGTAAGCTGCCTTCAAATTAAGCCTTACCGCGTTTATGTGTAGAGCTTCTCTACGCGTCTTTCAGAGAAGTATTCAAATCTCCTTGTCCGTGTTTTGGACATTTCGGGACTCTTATGTATATATTTTAACTATCTTGTACTCTTCTCCGCTCTGCTATTATAAAAAATACTTTTATTTCTAAAAGGACATAACGGACATCCAGAGTTTGAGACGACCGCTTTAACGCGTTTCTTGGCCGTACAGCAGTTGTTGACAGAGCATCGGATTGGTTAGATTGAGTAGGGTTTTACCTGGGAGTTGTCTTTGGACAGTAGCGTGCTGTAATGTGTGTTTTTAACAGTCGGACTAACTAACGACCAAGGCACTGGCAGATCATAAACTTGTCGGGTCTGGTGGCTTTGGTAAGATTTGCTCTTGGCTCTAACATAAGAGACACCTGGGCTGGCTGTAAGTTGTTAAACTTGTGTTTTTAGCGGAACAGTAAAGAATAGCGGGGCTTTAAGTTCAGATACTCAGCTGTGAAGTCACTTCAGGTTTCTGAATGAACTCTTAAGTACGTTATGTTCCAAACACAGACATAAAGTCTTTGGGTATGACTAACGTTAGCTTGCTATATCAGGACTGTCTGTATAAGTCAGCCATGTACCACGTGCGGAGTGCTTAAACATATATGTTTCTTAAAATAATTTCCAATTGCACTATGATAATTTTAAGTACTGTCATTAAGTTGGTCAAGTGCCATCAGTCTGAAATGATCTACCTCGCCTGTATTCGTCAAGGTGCATGCTAGCGTGTGCTAACATTACGGACAAGAGTTATACTTCCGCTTACAATATTTTAAACGCATACATTTGTGACTCAGAAAGAAATGTGTAAGTTTATTAATTATGTTTATGAGAGTGCAAATCGTGGGGCTACATACAGTTATTGGCAATACTCGTATTTAAACACGTTTTGGCATGTGCTTTAATTTGTAAACCCAGCCGCCCGCGACGGAAGTGGTGTTATTTGACGATTTTAGCAACCCTAACGGAACTCACCCAACACCGTTAACTGTAGCTTACTAGGCTAATCTGTTTACATGGTCAGTTTAGACTGCAACGTACTAGTGCTCTCGCTATATATATATATATATGTATGTATGTAGGTGTACGATCCTGAAGTCATGACTTAATCTGACCGCAGGCTTGCGTCTGTTTCATGTGGCGATGATGTTGTTTTGCCTCTTTCGGCTTTGCTAGGTGATACCAGCTAGATTACACCTTGCAAATGAAACGGGGGATATGTGACTATACTCTGGAAGGTTATATTAGCCCAAGTGTCTTCTTCACAGAGCCTGAGATCCTGCTTTTGCGTGCAGCTAAAGGGAGAACTACAATGCTGTGCTGGGGAAATGCTTCCTACGGACAACTGGGCTTGGGTGGGATTGATGAAGAGATTGTGGTTGAGCCACGAAAATGTGAATTCTTTCACGGGAAGCAAGTGAGTGATGTGGGGTGTGGCCG